GGGGGGGGGTCTGGCCCTCCAGTGGGGGCTCTGGGCCCCTCCTACCAGGAAGAGGATCTTGACCAGGCTCCCGTCCACTTCCTCCACGCGCGACTTCCACCAGGTGCCCTCCCACTCGGTCTTGATCTGCTGGCCGCTCTTCAGGAGCACCATGGGCCGGTTGGGGTAGGCCGTGACGTATTCCTCGATGAAATCCCGGCAGGAGACGTCCTCAATGTCCTCCCAGGACTTTTTGACTGCGCAAAGGAGATGCAAACGCCCGTCATTCCTACCAGGGCGCCCTCCACGGAACAAGAGCTCCTTCAGGGGCCGTTCCAAAGTGACGACGGCACCCAAAGGAAAGGGGCTCGGGGCCCCTGCCGCATACCCGCCCGCTCACAGGGTCAAAATCCAGGCATTGGGGAACCGGGTCGTATTTATGACGGGCGCAGCGCCCGGGGGGGGGGGGGTGTCATGCGATCCCCTTTTGTGACATTCGGACAAGCAGAGTCAACAAGGCAGGTTCACTTAACAACTGTGTGGTTAAACTAACAACAGCAACGGTTCACTTAACAACCCAGGCCAGAGACCCTCGAACGGAGGCAACGGAAGCCCACCCACCCGCCCCATTTGCTCATTTGGGGTCTAAGGGATAACCGGGGTTTTTTACAGAAATATTCTTTCTTTCTCTCTTTCTTCTTTTCTTCCTTCCCTTTTCTTTTTTCTTTCTGCCTCTGTGTCTCTTTCTTTTTTCCTTCCTTCCTCTCTCTCTTCCTTCCTTTCCTTCCTTCCCCTCTTTTCTTTTTCTCTTTTTCTTTCTTTTTTCCTCCCTTTTCTTTCTCTCTTTCACTCTTTCTCTATTCCTTCCTTCCTTCCCCTTTTCTTTTTCTCTCTCTTTTCCTTCCTTTTCTTTCTTTTTCTCTCTCTCTCTTTCACTCTTTCTCTATTCCTTCCTTCCCCTCTTTTCTTTTTCTTTTTCTTTTCTCCTTCCTTTTCTTTTTTTCTCTTTCACTCTTTCTCTATTCCTTCCTTCCCCTCTTTTCTTTTTCTCTTTTTCTTTTCTCCTTCCTTTTCTTTCTTTTTCTCTTTCTCTCTTTCACTCTTTCTCTATTCCTTCCTTCCCCTCTTTTCTTTTTCTCTTTTTCTTTTTTCCTTCCTTTTCTTTTTTTCTCTTTCTCTCTTTCTCTATTCCTTCCTTCCTTTCCTTCCTTCCTTCGTCTGCTCAAAAACCCCAAGTCAAGAGGGCTGGGGTTCTACTCACGGGGCCTGCAGATGAGGTAAAGCTCAGGCTGGATGACGTAGGAGGCGTAGCCGTCGTCGAAGAAGATCAGGAACCTAGAAGTGGGAAAGGGAGGAGGAGCAGCCCCGTTTCCGTTTCCCCGCTTCAGAAACACGCCGGAGTCAGGCGGGAGCCAAATACCTGCCCAACATTCATTCTGCCCTAGATTTGCCTTTTCCGGGCTCGCTCTTCTAAACGGAGGGATGCCGTGGAGCCTTTGGGCTAAGGAATCAGGAGTGAATCCTTCGTCCTTCTTCCCGGTTTTCCTTCTCCCCCCTTCCTCCTCCTCCTCCTCCTCTTTAAAACCCAGCTGCGCCTTGCCCTGACCTCATCTTATTCTTGACGTTGGGCATCTCGGCCACGATTCCCGCGTAGAGCCAGACCTGGTTGCCGTCTTTGTACTTGGCCACAACTCGGCTGCCGACGTTCAGCCTCTCGGGCACCGGGTGGCTGTCGTAAGCGATGTGGTTGCCCGAGAGCAGGCTCTTCCCTTTGTTGTCGAATTTCACCTTGTATTTCTTCCCAGGACCTAGCGGGACGGGACGGGGAGGGAGGGAGGGACGTTTGGTTCGAATTGAAAGCAAGGCTCTAGTCCTCAGGATGACCAGAGGCAGCTGGTCAAGAGGCAGAGCTATCACTTGCCGGAGAGAAGGCTGTTCAAAACATATAGTTCTTCCGCCCCCCACCCCCCCCCCAAAATAGAGGCACGGCAATTAGGTAGGCTGAGGAAGGCTCCAACGGTAATGTCAGCACTCCACAAAGACCAAACCCCGAGGCGGGCATTTCTCAAAGTCCCGTTTTATTAAAGTTGACCTTCTGAGGGCTCCAGATTTTCCCCACAGGAATTCAAAACACAAATCCACCCCCTGCACCCATCAGTCCAAGACACGGCCCAATCCCCATCCCGCCCAACGGAAGACATCCCTTAATAACCAGTCCTCACCCAGGTGCAGGGGAGACACGACCTTGACTGCAAGGAAGAATGCTATTATGTCTAACTACATTCGCTCTACACAAGGAATTCGTCTTGGTGAAAATGCTCTCAGGGTACATAAAGGAAAGATTAAACCTTGATGCAATCTTTTCAAACTGCACAAAGCTTGGCCAGGTCTGCTATTATCCCGGGGACAGTTGTGGGGAGGGTCTCCTTACCAACTGTCTGGATGGCAATCAAGGTGCCTTTGTGCCAAGTCTTGGTCCGTTTCTTGCCCAGGATACGATCACCAACCGTGAGGTCGCCATCGTGGGTGAGTTCACAGCCAGGGCTGACGTGCTGCAAACCTGTCGGGAAAAATAAAGCATGGGGTTGTTGTTTTTTTGTGTTTTTTTTTTTTTGGGGGGGGGGGGGGCAATATTTTAGAAGTGGTTTGCCCTTGTTTGCTTCCCAGGGCTGAAAGAGAATGACTGGCCCAAGATCGCCCAACTGGCTCTGTGCCTAAGAGGGACTAGAACTCACCGCCGCCTGGTTCCCACCCTGCTGGACCCAAACTGTTTTTTACTGATGACGATCAAGATTAGAAAAGAAATCAGGACACCAAGCAACCGACCAACAATTCATGCATTTTTGGAAGGCAGAAAAGAGCCACAAAAGAGCCAGGCCAAATTTTAGAAGAAATTTCTATTCATTTCATTTCTCCCAAAGGAAAATTGGCTTGCTAGTCCTCATGCTTTCAGAAGTAAGTCAGAAAGAAGGGGAAGAGGAAAGAGGCGGCAACACCCAAACTTCAGAATTAGGATTGTCGCCGGATGGGACCTAATTCTGCTGCCGACTTCACCATTAAGAGCCCCATAAAAATATACTTTATCTCTGTTGGTTCCCGGGGTCTCTGAGACCGCATTCTTTCCGGAGGAAGTCTGGATTTCAAACAGACCCCTGAGGCTGCTCCCCCCCCACCAAGGCAATTGGGTACAGCACCCACCTCTCTGGGAATCCAGGCTGCCCGACTTCTTGTTAACGGCGTCCATGAACTTCTGAACGTCTTGTGCGGATTTCCTCATGGCAGCCATGGCTTCCCGGAGCTGCAAGTGGGGAAAGCAAAGAGCAAACCGTTCGATTTCCTCGCTGGGAAAAAGGACCGAAGCTGAGGATTCGGGCAGGGGACCCAGAACATCTTAGCCAAAGGAAGGAGGAGTTTAACTCAATGCTGTTGGGCTGGTGCCAAGTTAAATCTTTCCGCTTAATGGCATCCCCAGGACTGAAGTACAGCCAGTCCTCGACTTACAGCAGTTCATTTAGTGACCATCGCAGTGTTTCCGGGGTCGTGCCTTTTGCAGAGTCGGTGAGGAAGCTGGGATTCACTTAACAATGGACTAAGGTGTTCCTAATTTAACTGCGGTGACCTGTTCTGACCCAGGCTTCGTCAAATGGAATTAAACACAAACGTATTTTAAAAGCAAAACCTGTTTTATCGCAACGCTGGGAATTACTTCATTCCCAGCCAGAACCAATTATAAACGGTTCCCCAAGATAACCATCTGCCTTTCGGTGCTGTGGAATGTTGTCAGAAACAGAAATATCCAATTAATTATAACAGAAACCAAGTACCAGAAAAGACCAACCAGAGTACATAGAGCTGCAAGGAGGACTTAGAATCTATCAAACTACTTTGCTTCCTGCAAAGAGTTCGTCCTTGAGGTCTGACTTTTATCCCTGAGGGGAGGGGCAATCACTTCCCAGCCTCACTCCCAAGTTGCCCCTTCTGTTTCAGCTGCTCTCGCCTTCTAGCAGCTCTGCGCAGACGCGCACTGGGAACAGGCTCCCCTTGTTCCTCTGCCTCGCTGCTGCCAGACTCCGAAGGCTCCGGAGGCAGCACCCCACTCCCAGGTGGTCCTGGCCCCATCCCTGCATCGGACGTAGGACCCTCGTCCAGGTCCTCTCCAGACTCTCTCTGACTGGTCCCCTTTCTTCCTCACTGTCCGATTCCGCTGCTGGCTGCACTGGCTGCTGGCAAACCACAATATGACCTACTAAACTCTGGCACAAAAAGTCGTAAAATGAGGCAAAAATCACTTCACCGACGTTTCACTCAGCCAGGGAAATTTTGGGGTCAATTGTGATTGTAAGTCAAGGACTACCTGTAAACTATTTTTTCTCCCCCACGAGACAAGCTATTTCATGGCTTCAGTTCACCTGTGGAAAATGCCCACCCTTCCCCCTTAACTGGGAAACTAGGTTTCTAACTGGGTTATATTTTTCCCCTAACTAGGTTTATGACTTAAGCCGTGGTCCCCCCTTCCGGTCCCACAAACTTACCAGGGTCTGGTCCTTTGCAATTTTGTTATTCGGATCTTCTGCAACAGAAAAGAAAGACAAAATGAAATCACAGTGGGTTGTTTTTTTTTTCCAGCCGAAAAATATCCAGGCAGGTCCTGATTTGGATCACAACGGATGGATGTAAAGCCAAGCCAACGCTGGCTGACCCCCACCGGCGCCCCACCTGAGTCCACGCTCATGACGTCATCCTCGTCCTCGTCCTCATCGGGGATTTCAATCACTTCCATGGGTTTGCCGGAGCCGTTCTCCGAATCCGAATCCGTCTCTCGGTATTCCAGCCCCAGGTTGACGTAGATGTCTTTGACCAGCACTTCGCATTTATCCACCGCCCTGGCAGGTAAACGGAAGTCAATTGGATTAAGGCAGAACCAGAAAACCGGAGCTCGGGTGAGCTTTCTAGAAAACAGGATCAAATACAGGCGGTTCTTGACTTGCAAGAGTTTGTTGAGGGGCCAAAGTCACAACGGCATTGAAAAAAGGGGCATTTTTCACACTTACAACCCAATGTATGATAGTCACAACTTAAGGCCCTGTTATGGCTGTATCTCAAGGACCGCCTGCACACTTTATACTTTGAATTGCCAGCTTTTTTAGAAATGCAAAGGGGCACCAAGAGGCCAAACCGTTTCGCTTACTTCACGGCGTTTTCAAGGAGCTGGTCGACGTGAGCCACTTCCGCCTCCTTCTGTTTCACGCACTCCTCCAGGCGCCCCAGTTCCTCCTTCCGCTGCTTGATGTACTCCGACTTCTCCAGCTCCTCTTCGATCAGCTGCTTGAGGTCCTCCAGGGAGATGCCCATCTCCTCCATCACCTCCCGCTGGAGCTCTAAGATGTCTTCAGACTCCGCCATGGCAGCAGAACCTGAAATGGTTCAGAGAAGGAGAGCAAATGACATACGGCAGCCGAAACATCCTTCTGTCCCAGCTGGGTTGTAGTTTGTTTTCTTTCCAATTTCCTTCTGATACGGTGCAGATCTTGCCGGCGTCTGAGAAGAATGTACATGCCATGAAATCTAAATTTCATGGCACAGAAATTTAGGAACAGTTCAAACTTAGACCGTAACTGCAGTATTTGTTTAGCCGGACGTTGCTAGAAAGGAAAATAGTGGATAGGAAGAGAGACCTCATCCTCAGCCCCTACTCACCTAGAGAGAGATTTACTCATTCATTTACTACTAAGTGTTGTTATAATCTTCAACTTCCCTCTATCCTTTTCGCAATTGATACCCTGCCTTTATTTTTAATCATTTATATTTAATAGTTTAATTTAAACAACGGAACATGAAGAACAGACCTAATACTTCTTTCTTCCTCCCATTTTCCCCACCATAATAATCCCGTGAGGTGGACTGGGCTGAGAGAGTGACTGGCCCAACATCAGCCAGCTGGCTTTCGTGCCTAAGGTGGGACTAGAACTCACAATCTCCCAGTTTCTAGCCTGGTGCTTTAACCACTAGTGCAGGGGTGTCCAACCTTGGCAACTTTAAGACTTGTGGA